AAATATTATCTTTATCGTTATTTATAAAGTAAAGGTAAAGTAATATCCCTATTGAAAATGGATGCTTAGCATCTGAGATTGACCGCTGCAAGAGGAAAACTTTTGGCATTATCCAGTAGATATGACTGCAAGATCCTGTGAAGGTATTCTTCACTTCTAACAAGACCATATGATGTGAACTCATTGCTAATGTATTCCACGATACCTATTCATACGGACCTCAGCTTTTTCCTAAAAGTGTTAATAGTTGTTAGTGATGACAGCAGAAACTTTCAAGCACTAAGTAAGTTTGTTAATATGATAGAATGAGTAGCAACTGTTTACATCTCTCTTAGACTATGAAACTTCGAATATGGTGAACTTCAGCTTACTCAAATCTTGTGACTTCACCGCTTGTGGAAGTATACTGTTCTTTATTGCTTAAAATTCAAAAGTTATTGTGAACAGAACTTTATACCAAAAGTCAAATTATCTTATGTCGAAAATAATCAATTTTACATAGATATAGAGGTCCACGAAAGCCAATCAGTATGCCTCTCTACACGAATTTGTAATAGATAAAATGCACACTGCCATTGTAATAACGCGTCATCTGTTAGAATTACATGCAAATTAACTATTATTAGAAAATTTATATGTCAAACTGAGCCTGTTCAAATCTTTATATTTACCAGTTCGAGCCTACCCAAGCCTTTACCTCTCCAACCTAGGGTAGGCTCGTGCCTATCCAGGCCTCGTGGCTCCGCCGCCTATGGTTTTATCATTTACCTAAGTCGAAATATATGCGCAATAAAAATGTTCCAACACTATGCACACTATGCAAAGAAAAAAAAATGTCACTTTTTCTTCTAATAAACTTTTAATAGTTTAAAAAAGCAATTGATGTTCAACGTAAACATACCGAAAGATGCAGCTCGTTCTGGACTTTGTTGCTATATAGAGTAGATTAATAAATAAAATAAGTATAGTCATTAAAACAAAAGGGGAGAAATTCAATTGTCCCCTACTATAGTTTGAAATAAAACTGAAAAAAAATTTTTATTTTATTTAAAATATTTGTAGGAAATGAATTAAATTTATTGAATAATAGACATATATGAAACAAAATGTAATATAACATAAGATGATATATATAGTTGAATGAATAAATAAATGTTGACTAACGAGGGAAGGTCCCCAAGTGTGAATCACCGTTTCGAATGAGAGATATCCTAGTTTGTAGAGCTCGACGAGCTGAGTCTAGTGGCATAAAGCATTTTTCCCGACGCAGCTAGAAACTAGAAAAACAGTTTGGATAATTATGAAAAATCATATAGAAAACATTGGAATTTTAACGATATTGCAATCCGAGAGAGCTATCTATAACCATTGATTTCGTCATTTTTGGCTATCAACTCTAGTAAAATAGACCAAAAAATGTATAGCTATGCCTTATTTTGCATATGTTACTGATGACATCAATGAACAGTTAAATGATTTGCAAAGTATATTCCGAAGAGTATCAATAGTCTTATGAGAGTAAAGCTGATACATTCCGAACTTGAACCCATCCTGACTTGCATCTTTTTAGTACGTGATGGCCTTTATACTTGATAGTCCATGCTTTTTTTTATTTGAAAATGTATGTTTCATATGGAATCAATGAAAGCGATAAGCACAATCTGAAATTCTCCAGCGTAATAGAAGTCTGCTTCTCTTCACTAGTCAACACGTGCTCATACAATAATTGTGATCAGGACATATTCATTTGTTGCAGTCATTGTCGACGGACACTGTGTTTCGAACATTTTTTATGCTTATCACTTTCATTGATTCCATATGAAACATACATTTTCAAATAAAAAAAAGCATGGACTATCAAGTATAAAGGCCATCACGTACTAAAAAGATGCAAGTCAGGATGGGTTCAAGTTCGGAATGTATCAGCTTTACTCTCATAAGACTATTGATACTCTTCGGAATATACTTTGCAAATCATTTAACTGTTCATTGATGTCATCAGTAACATATGCAAAATAAGGCATAGCTATACATTTTTTGGTCTATTTTACTAGAGTTGATAGCCAAAAATGACGAAATCAATGGTTATAGATAGCTCTCTCGGATTGCAATATCGTTAAAATTCCAATGTTTTCTATATGATTTTTCATAATTATCCAAACTGTTTTTCTAGTTTCTAGCTGCGTCGGGAAAAATGCTTTATGCCACTAGACTCAGCTCGTCGAGCTCTACAAACTAGGATATCTCTCATTCGAAACGGTGATTCACACTTGGGGACCTTCCCTCGTAAGACTATAGTTCTAAGTTAATTCTATTTGAAAACTTTACTTGTGCATATGTCTTATATTAATTATTATATCGAGAAGTAATTCCTATGTTATATATATTTAACTGAATTACTATCTAGTAGATATAATATTAAGTTACCACCTGATGAAGTCCCGCCAAGACAGAAACAGCGTTGTCGTGAAACGGCGATCTATTCTAATACACACCCACACCCTGCTTTCGAATCAGTTGTACAATTACTTGCCACTTGACAATAACTTAGTAACTTTGAAAAACTTCAAGTTTCGTGGTAATTCCTCACACCCAGATTGCGCGATTCTATTTCTCCGTGATATGTAAGGCGGAGCCCTCTCATATACCCCTCATTCGATAGAGCGTCCCCGATAACCCTAGGATC